AGATCTTTCTCCCACACTTCCGCAACCGCCTATGTGATCAGATCGCGATGTGCAGCGGATCAACCTAAATCGATCCTTATGACCTGCAATCAAGATCAGAACATGAGAGGCTCACTTCGAGCGCGTCCTGTAACGTAACTTTCCTTTCCCCAAGTGCCGCTTCCCAGTAGTCAGCTGATCATATAATAGTGGTTTTGGTATCCGCATCGAATACATACGGTTTACATGACCCAACCACCCCCGATGTGTCAGCAAAAGTATGCAGTCCACTGCGTACCTCCCAATTCGGAGCGACCCTTCCGTGTGCGCAACTCTGGCACCCCAGCAGATGCACAGAATCCGTCGCAGACGTTGTAGATGGAACCGCTCGGGATATCGCACATCCAAGCGGTACCTCGTGCACGTTTCACTGCCGTAAAGAAGAACGAACAGCACCACGGATTTGTACACCATCAGTTTCGTCCCAATGGTAAGCTGATGTTTGTTCCACACTCGGTACCATAGCTTCCCTAATAACGCCGCTGCCTTCGACACGCGGATACGCAGTTAGCTGTGTAGCTGCTGCACAGTCGGTATCATATTCTAAAAGTAGCAGAAGCGGAGAGTGGTTTCCTAACTTCAGCACCAATGCTGATTCGCGGCGGTATAAAAAAATTGCACCTCCGGTGAAGGCTGAAAGCGACAGAAAGTTTCGCTTGTTTTGAAGAGGAGCCCGAAGTTGACCGCTGTCATGTCATGCGCTGCAACTCATCTGCTCTGTGTGCAGACAATACAGTCGTCAGCAAAGAGCCCAACACGGAGAGTTGTCTCACGGACAAGGGTTCGTGCACCGAAAGGAAGGATGTTCAGCAAACCACCATCAATACGTTGCTGCACCCAAACAGCGAAAGCACAAGCCGCATCAAATGTACAAGACATGGCATGAAAATAAGTATTAATTAAGGCGCAAACCAAGAAACAGACTTGCTTCACACCAGAGAAAACTGCAAAGTCATCCAAGGTATGTCCACTCCGCTGTTCCCTCGCCCGCGTACCACTATGCAGACATTCAATTAAACTTACAAAGTTACGCGGGCAACCAAACTCACCCAAAACCAGCCACGATTCCTCGCGGTTCATCGTATCAAATGCCTTGGTGAAATCAACAAAAAGGGAGTACAATAGCTGGTGGCTTTCTCTGCACTTCTCCTGAAACTGACCTGCCGCCAACGCCATGTCGATGGTTATGCGAGCCAAATGGAATCCACATTGCTCTTCCGCCACGTTAGGTTTCACAACCTGATTGACGAGGCGGTTGAGAAGGATTAGGGCAATCACCTTGACCACATATTTCAACAAGTTAATGTCATGATAATTTGTGGCATATTGCTTTCACCTTTTGTCCTTGAAAAATGGTAACACAAGGGCATCCTTCAACTCAGGAGACGCCTCCTCCTTAACCCTAGACGTTGAACTAGGTGTTGCAGCGCGGTCAACAACGCGAGTCTGTTGTGTTTCATTATTTCATCCAAGATCCCGTCGGCCCCAGCAGACTTACCGTTTCATAGCCTAGCAGTACCCTCTGCGTCGCTTCCAATGTCGGCGTATCTGCAAGGTTCGCCTTCACGCCGTGCTCCTTGAGGTCGTTCCAAGGATGCCAGTCGATCTCAGAAGGGTTGTACAAGAGACCATCAAATTGTTTCCGCCAGATCTGCACTATGTCTGCAGTCTGTGTGCAAGTAGTGCCTGAGCTACCATCAATCAGTGTCCTCAGCGGCTCCAATCCTGGTCCATACACCGCCTTCAAGTAGCCAAAGAATTCCTTGTGTTGACGACGTTCGGCGTAGCATTCATTCTGCGTCGCCTTCTCCGTCCACTATACATTGTTAATGCGACGAAGCTCTCAAGTCAGTCGCCGTCGAAGTTTGCGAAACTGACACTTCTACCCCAAGCCACCGTGGTCTGCCATATGTTCAGCTAATGCTGCATCCTTCTCAGACACCAATGCGCCAATCGTCACATTATTCTCATCAAACCCATAAGGCTGCTTACAGTTTGCGCGTCCGATGGTCTCCCCGGCAGCAACTGTCTTCTGGTCGCGAATGTCGGGCCACAGGTCTCCCAATGTGGCTATGCATTCCACATCACACAGGCGTGCAGCCATCGCCTTCTCCACCACAATACAGTTCGTCACAGTATCGAGGGAGACAATGTTAAATTTACACCGACTCCCGGCAGGAGCGCAATAAGTAGATTTACGAAAATACAGGTACAGTTTGATCCGCACCAATTTATGCGCATTGCCACGCAGCTCCACGCAGTACACGTGTCATGCGCACTTCACGCATATCACGGTGATACGATGACAGCCGAGCAGATGAGCGTGACCACTCCGTGAGTGCGCCTAAGTTGCTATATCGCTCACACTGTGCAAACTGAGTGTTCGCCTATGTTACGCAGACAATGGCAGTAAAGTCCTTAAGATAAGTAGTACCTGTTATAGCTGCATTAGATCGTACTGTCCGCAATGTGTAGGCAAATCCGGCCAAGAAGTGAGCTAGACAAACAAAGTTGCTGACACAAGTTGGTTTTGTGTACTATGTCAAGTCATTCCAGTTGTCAACGGTTTATATTTGCTCATGAAAATGTGCGATAGGATGACTGAGGTAATCGCCCATTTTGTAAATACTAAGGTCGATCCCACGGAGGCAAATATGGTCACGATAATACCTCACCCAGCCAAAGTAAGCTCCGAAACTAAGCCTAAGAAGAGAGCTAGACGCTCCAACCGCACTGCAGTTTCTGTGACTATAAATCCACTGGGTCACCTCACTCCCATAAGTGGACAGGCCGCAAACGTGCCTGCTTCCACTTCTCCAAACATAGACGCTTCACTTGGAGTTTCAACCATGACACCGACAGCTCAGCGTCGAAGGCAATCCGGTACAGTTAACAAGCAGGTAACGTACGCATCGATTGCGTCGACAAACCAGGAGCGACACATGTAGGTTGTAGCGCCTTGACGAATGCTACACAAGAAATTCGTAGCCCAGTAAGACAGAAGAAGGATATAAAGATTGTCTTGAGAAAACAGCTATGTACAATAGCTATGTAAATATAGACTGAGGACAGTGGGAGAAAGTGGTGAAGCAAGGAGTTACACCACGTTGGAGCGCAACAGTCGGCAACGCGCGGGAAAGATGGGGGGTTCAAAAATGCCGTCCGGTATATCTAGGCTTAGGAGGAGTGCAAAGTAAAACAAAATGTGTGCAAGTCTGATGGCGATGCTTGATTAAAATGTCATTGTCACTACAAGGTCCATCTTCACTATAGAGCACGCGTGGCGCAAAGCAGCTTTCCCTGTCAACTCCAGTGGTGCCTTCTAGACAACCCAAATTGCCAGCAAAAAGTATAAAGCCAACACTCGCTAGACAAAACCACGCTTCGTTAACTCTCCTGTACACCAATTTTCCAGAATCCAAATCTGGCACAATAAAAGGCAAGTTGCAAGACGATCGCAACCAGTGGAGTTCCAACTGCGAGGCGCATGGTACTCGGGTTGAGCCTGCAATGCTGCAACGCGTAGCGCGTAGCGCGTCACCGGACCTCAGTGCACTCCGGTGAACCTCGAATTCTTCGAGTAACACTGGACTCAGCAGGTGAGACGGTGGCTGTGCTGCTGTCAACGGTGCGTCCGCAACTCACCGAGCGGATTGCGCATATTACCTGATCTACCTTGGAAAGATCGCTCAAAAAAGCAGTTGAGCAACGTGACATTTCTAATAGGGATAGCAAGAAAACCATATTTGTTCATGGCGTCCCCGAGCTTCTGCATTCTTCTGATGACGATTCGCAAACCTATGACTGAGAGCAGTGGTGCTATATCCGCGAAGCACTCTCCGTTGACAATAATATTACGAATTCCTTGACAAGAGTTCAGTCATCACCTAACTACAATGGCTGGGGTCCAAGACTAATGAAAGTAATACTACACTCCGAGGGAATGACGCAAGTTCTGTTGGATAGCTGGTTAAAGTTTCGAGCTAGGTTGCCAACAGAAATCCGGCCAAAGGCAGCAGGCGAACGGCCAAAGGTCGGAAGCAATTCGATGGAAATTGCAAACGCTACAAATTCTTTATGTGTACACTCCTGCGGAGAGACCGACACAACAGGGCCCACGGCACACAACAGGACAGAGCACAGCACGAGTGAAACGTCTGTTCAAGCGCGCTCCACAATGCCATGCAACATGACTGAAATACGTAAACCAAAGCGCACTATGGCCGGCCACCTAACGGCCGGCTTAAAAATTAACACAAAGTAGACATCCGTCAACGCACTCCTGACAACAAAAGCCCTATCTTGCATGCACACAAACGTCCAAGGCCTTCTAAGCAAGTTGGCCGAACTTAGAGAAATCCATACCTCACGACCGCGCAACCTCGTTATGATTGCAGAGAACTGGTTTAACCCTGAGATAACCGATTATGAGATCAACTTACCCGGTGTGTTGCTGCTTCGGACGGAGAGAGCCGGAAGAGGTGGCGGTGTGACTCTTTAATATAATACAAACCTCCGATGTGAAGTTATCGATCACCCGGAAATCCGGCCTCCTGATTCGTTTTGGTTCCGCCTATGGTTGAGAAACAAGGACACATGCCTACTAGTCGTGATTTATGGCCCACAAAACTCAACGTCGGAAATGACTCTAAACTGAACCGTGTTTTCCAGTTTGCTTTGAACAAGTCTTACATCCACGTTCTTATCGCTGGAGACTTTAACGAGCACGACATACATACTACGGCAACCGACGGTACGCAGCTTAAAGCGTACTTGCAAGAGCTACTTGCTAGTCACCCTCTGTACAACCACGTAACATTTCCCACCAGATATCGATCTGCTAACGAGCCGTCGATACTGGATTTTGTGCTCATAAATGAAAAACCCATGGTTGTCGGGGTAGTTACAACTACACCACTGGGTCTTAGTGACCAACTTACTCTGCTCTTTGACTATATATGCTATGCGGAGTAGCCTGAAAAGGAGGATGATAAAGTGCACACTGTCCCGCATTATAATGTGTTATCTAAGCTTATATACCACCTTATAGTGCGTGACAACTAAGCTTTCATCATAACGAGGCTGGACCTTACCGTAGTGCGATGGTTTGTGTGCCTCAGTGATCCATTGAGCTATACTGGGTGGTGCATTTTTGCATCTTCAGTCACTCATACCAGATTGGTCAGTGGTTAGAGGCCAGACAAACCCAGCCTCCTGGTCCTCCAGGTTGGGGGTTAGGATGAGGGTGGCTCCTTATTCCTTGAAACGCGCTCCTTGTAGCCCAGTGCCAAACCCGCTGCCTTGCGGACTGGTTTCTGAACAAAAGGCTTTGGTTGAGAAACCTAATCGTTCTCCTGTCTAGGCCTGGGCAACCTGACAGTATCCTGCCCACGCCATACAATGAATCTCACTTCAAAGAAATTTCTGATGCTCTGGCCACCGCAGAGGATAATCAACGGTGTCCTATCTGCTGCATCGGGCCTAGTGGATAGAGGTTTGTATGCTTCTGCTTAAGCCATCCCGTTTTTTATTCTCCCCTGGCGCATTTCACCCTTATCGTCCAGTTCCAGCCTCACTTTTATCCCCCTGTTTTCAACCCCCCAATTCTCGGCCCTCCTCTACCTTGCTTCAATAGTCGCTTGTTTTTTAGTTTCAACTCACATGTGAACGCGGAGCGTCATTCCCGCCCGTGTCAACAGGCCTGTGTCCAAGCAAGCAGCCCATTCCAGTCCATCGGCTTCCATTTGGAGCCCTCGATCATCCTTCAGATTGGCATGCCTCAATGTTCACACATTGCTTCAGATCGGTCAACAGGCAGCACTTGCCCGAACATTAGAGACCCTCTCGATCGATATCTGCTGCTTATCGGAGACCCGCCTGCAAGACTCGAGCTCTGTACTCACTCTGCGGTCCCCTTCAGGTGAAACTAGCATCACTTTCTCATTGCACCTATCCGGTGACGATGTAGCTTCGAGCACCTGCCATGCTGGTGTTGGCATTGCCCTAAGTCCCCGGGCTGAAGCTACTCTGGTGTGTGCGGTCCGATTGGCTGGCTCGTTCAAAAGTTCGAAGTCGCGTGGGACCAACAGGTGTCTATTCGTTATCGTTGCACATGCACCGACAAAGTGTAGAGATGACTAGGTAAAAGATGACTTCTATCGTCAACCGAACGAGCTCCTTAGCCGCAGAAGAAGCTCGGACACTGCAGTGCTGACTTGTAGTGACCTGGAGATTCCCCTGTTTGGCTGCCGCATGCTGCGTAAAATATTACAAAATCACAAAATTATATTTTCTCGATGTACATAGCAAATTAGCCGCTCGCCTGTTTGAACGTCGCTCGCGTTTGTTTGAGTCAACCGAGCATCCGCCTTCGAACGGCGCGACGCTCATCGGCTCCGCGGCCATCTTTGCTCTCTACGCACGCGACCACACCTTTTCCCTAGCTAGCTATCTTCCGGTGCCTTACTTTTAGTACTAGATGGCATTTCGCCCCACTTAATAAATTTTTCCTAGCGTTACTTTTGGTGTTCTCCACTCATCGGAGGTTGGTCTTATATTCGCGTATTGGTTCTAAAGCGTACCAATCCTGCTTCTCGCTTTAGACTGGGGATCTGAACACAGGTTGGAAACTTATCCATAGATGAGCTGCATCAAGGCGGCCAATATGGTGTAGCCTCCCGTAATGATAACGGTGAACGGTTACTTCATCTGTGTGAGGATGCTCGCTTATTTCTTGCGAGCACTAATTTCCGACACAGTACCCGCCGGAGGGTTACTTGGCGCCCACCAGCCTCGAACCAACTATGGTCCAAATCGATCACCTTGCGCTAAGTTACCGATGGTAAGGCTGCGTCCAGAACTGACGGTCGATTTGGAGCACAGGTTGGAACACCGACCATGCACCGACCATGCGGTCCTGCGGATGCGCTTTGGCGGACGCCCACGACGACGTTATGAGCGCATCGACACCAGCCAACTGTTCTGATAGCCTATCAATGTACGCTGTCATGCGCGTTGGATACACGCTCACTGGATGCAATTGAAGGTCACTGATCTCATATTCACCAGACCTTACTAGCAGCGGGAAAATCCTCATCTGGTACGTCTAAACACCAACATGGCACTTGGGTCTCTTCACACTCTCTGGAACTTAGCGATGCTCGCCGGCATATCCCGGCTAGAAGCGAACACAATGAAACACGCAAAGAGCTCCGGGCAAAACTCCGTGCTAGCCTGAAGAGAGACCGCGAATCTTGGTAGTCTCATCGTGCATCAGAGATGGAATTGGCCGCTGCCCTTGATAACCATCGTAAGCTATTCCGGCTGATAAGGGAAACGGGCAGCGGAAGACCTGGTGTCAGTGAAACAATTTGTGACGAGGGTGGACAGCCTATCCACAACTTAGCTAAACGCTTACAGCGTTGGGCTGAGCACTTTAAAAGGCAACTTAATCGGTAATGGTTGTTAGATTCCTCGCCGGCCACTGATTGCCCCGCTCCCTGGGCTGTCCTTTGGGTCCACCCTCTCGCTCAGAATTCGAACGTGAGATGGAAGTGTTGAAGTTGAACAAAACCGCGGGACCTGCTGCTCTTCCTCCAGCCCTCTTCAAATTCGGGGACCAGCTCTTGTGTATGACTTACACGAGTTACTTGTGAAATTGTGGGAGCAGGAAACTGCCTCAACCGATTGGAGCCGCTCCGGCATAGTCCCAATTTTCAAACGAGGCTCACGATCGGTATGCGGCAGCCATAGAGGAATCAGTCTGATCTCCATCGTCTCCAAATTGCTTGCCTCAGGCACTCTTCTTAGACGGACTAGCACTCGTGAAAGCCAGATTTGTGAAGAGCAAGCCGGGTTTTGTCGAGGTAGTGGCTGCATTGACCACTTCTTCACTTTGCGTCAGTTGTTGGAGCACCGTCACATATATGGCGGCCCACCGTTATCGTGTTCCTCGATATCAAAGGTGCACTCGATTCGGTGGATAGACTTGCACTTTGAAATTGTCTACTCAGAAATGGTGTACGAGTGAAAAAGGTGCATATAATCCGAGCATTGGATGCGCGTAGATCGGGCAGAGTGAGGGCTTACGGCAAGTCCTCGTCGCCCTTTAATATCTCCAGCGGTGTGAGACAAGGATGCCCGCTGTCACCTTTCTTCTTCAACTTCGCTACTGACGAAGTCATGGAAATCGTGTTCACAGAACACGACTTAGAACGCGTGGATCTGCTCCCAGGAGTACGACTTCTTGACTTAGAGTATGCTAATAATATTGTCCTAATCTGTGACAGCTCCCAGACATGCCAAGCGACACTTGACAGATTAACAATAGGTGTCCGTCACTTCCGCCTTTGCTTCGCAGCCTCGAAGTGCAAAGCGTTCCTGTAAGATTGGTTTGGACCGCCTCCTACGCTGACCGTTGGTGGGGATCAGCCAGAAGTCGTTCAAAAATTCAACTACCTGGGAAGTTGTATCAGCGTCCGCGAGATTGAAGCTGAGAGCACGAACCGTATAACAAAAGCTCGGGGTGCTGTTGCTAATCTTCGCCACTTATGGCGACGGTGTGACATCCCTATTGTCCTGAAAAGTAGAGTGTACAATGCAGCGGTGTGTTCCACCCTACTATACAGATGTGAAATCTGGCCGCTTAAAGCAGCGGACCTGAAGAAGCTAGTTACGTTCGACCACCGGTGCCTCCGCAATTTAGCTCACATCTGGTGGGAACATCGCGTGAGCAACGAGCGTGTTCTTCGCCTTGTTTACGCCAGAGGAAAAGGAACTGAACCGCTCAGCACCGTTATTTCACGCACCAGGCCCCGATGGCTCGGCCACGTGTTACGCATGCCAGCCCACCGACTCCCGCGACGTGCGTTGTTTGCGCGCCAGGGATGTGGATGGAAGAAGAGGAGGGGTGGCCAAGCGATGACTTGGTCCAGAGGAATGAAGACCCTCACTTCTGAGCTGGCCTCGGTCTGAACGTCTCGGCTCCCTGGTTGGGGTCCGAAAGACAATGAAGACGTCTGGTTGGACACACTTGCTTATATGGCTAAGAGCCGACCTCAGTGGCGTTCGTGCTGTGAGTTTCTTTATCCCATCCGATCCCTTTTTGCCTCCCCTCCAATCACGATCTCATTATTTAACCTTATATAATTTTGCATAGTAATTTTTTGATACACAGTAGCCGGCTGGTAGCTTACCGGAACGATGCCTATCCGTTACCGGTAGCACAGCCGGCTTGCACTAGTTGAAATTTTTTCTTTTCACCGTGTATTGCGGCACAGTCGCTGAGGCGTTCCCCCCCTCTAGCTAACGTGTATGATGAGGATGATGGTATTCAAGCTTGTTAAGGATACATCTTAGACTTCCTTAACCGAATGCCCTCCAGGTATTATCTGAGAAACGTTTACAAGGACGTTTAGCACACTGGCGGCAAGCAACGGAACAGAACTCCTTCAAACCAAAATACATGCACAAGTCATTTTTGAGTTGCCGAACACGTAAATATATATCCCTGAGGGAGTTGGCATAGCGAGATCACCAGGACTGCTCGAATGTCAAAACCTGGACTGCATACGTGACACATCGGAACTTCTGTATGAAACTGATCCGCGACACCCAAGTCGCTCATCAGCAGGAGTTAATGAAGCGATTTTGCAAGAACCGCAAACTTCTGTACAGGCAAGTTAACGGCCTTCGAAAGGTGAAGCGGGGAATTCCAGCACTAGTCACGGCTGATGGATGCACGCGATCAGTTATGGAAGCAGCTGATCTTCTACAGCTTCATTACTCCCAAACTTTCCAACAGGTAAGGAGCCCCAACATTCTCCTCACTTCTAATACTCCACCATCGGGTTTAGACAATATCACCTTCATTGCGGAAGTGGTGTTGAAGAAGTTGTTATCTGTGCGTATCCACAGTTCTTCCGGAGCCGACAATATACGACCAAAGACTCCGCAGGCGGATGCTAGTGATCAAGCAGAACCACTGGCTGTTTTCTATCAGCGATGTTTAGAAGAGGACCGTATTCCACCAGTATGGAAGCAAGGAGTCATGACTCCCATCCATAAAGGAGGTAGCCGCACTGATGCTGCTAACTACCGTCCGATAACACTAATTCCCGTCCTATCCAAACGGATGGAATCAATGATCGCGGATGCGCTGATGCAGTATCTGGAAAGCCACAACTTAATAACTCCAGAGCAACATGGCTTTCGCCAAAAGCATTCATGTAATACTAACCTATTAATTGCCCGTAAAAGCCGGACTGAAGCTATTGATGATGGAGTAGGACTCGATGTCATCTACCTGGACAATTCAAAGGCGGTTGACTGCTTAGACCATCGCATTCTCCTTCAGAAGCTTCTGAACAACGGCATTGGCGACCCGAGTCTGAGTTGGATCAGCAGTTTTCTACAGGAACGACGGTTAGTGGTGAGAGTTCGAGAATTATTATTCAATGCAATCGATGTGACGTGTGGTGTAACGTCCACCGTGAACGTTGAATAACGCGTAGCCAAAGATCCCGAAATCAAAACAAGTTGGATCACAAACACTACGGTATTCAATTGTTCAGTATCCCGGTATATGCAAGTCGACAACACGGTGTCAGTAAACAATAAGAGGGACGAGTTGTTTACGCTGGACAAATCAAGGAAGCAAATCACCGCACCTGAGTGCTACGAGCGTTCAGACTAATGGTTTTGACCAATCAAGGAATAGTCCAATCACAGGGTGAGAGTTTAATGGCACGCATAAACATGGTGTTTGGACAAGCGACCAGTGAATGGGGGAGTGGGTGCGACACGTGCTCCGGTCTGAACGTGTTCCGTTCGGCGAAGAGTAGGGTTGGAGATCCAAGGTCGTCGGTAGCCGCACACGCACGGAACCAGTGCCGGTGATTAGCATGCACACACAGACACACATGCAACGCTAACAATGGGAATGTAAGCAGGCGCACATGAAAGCTGGTCGATATCCATAAACGATCGGCCCTTTGTAGACTAGACCACGAAGCGAAGAGTAGAAGAATTTCATGGGTAAATAAGCGCGTTACACTGCCTCCGAAATTCTTCTGCGATTGACGTCTCGTACGTCCCCGACTCCACTCTGGCTCTCGGTCCTACGACTGCCTACAGTAGCGCTCCTTAGAAAAACAGAAGGGAAAGCAACACAACCACACGAGAGCGACTTGGCAGGAGCCGTTTTCCATGACTCCCAGCAAGCGCCGTTCGTAAGCGTCTGTGGGCATCGAAGCGCTTGGGTGAAAGCCGTTTTCCATGACTACCACCCTGCACTCCAAGCCAGACTTAAGCGCTGCTATTTATCGCCCTCCAGGCGGCACACCTTTCTGACATCTCTTTTTACTATACCTGAGTTCGTTCTAATGTACACCGTCCTTACTAAACCGTCATTGCTGGCTTCACAACTCACGACTCGACCCAGCGGCCAACAACCCCTTGGTAGTTTCTCGGAAGCCACCAACACTAATTCCTCTTTTTCTACAGACTTGGTCGGAAGCTGCCACTTCTGTCGAGATTGTAATGTTGTTATGTATTCTTTTAACCATCTCTTCCAGAATCCCGTGGGTACGTGCGCTACTTGCTTCCAGCGCTTAGTATACCTGTCTCTGATGTCGATGTCTGGTAGCTGCAAGGTTTCGCATCGTATGAGAAGTAGGCTGTTCGGGGTTAATGGAGGAGCATCTTGGCTATCGGAGGTGGGTGGAACTAGCGGGCGATTGTTTAGAATCCGTTCTACCTCGACGAATACAGTGGCTAGGGAGTCATCAGTAAGGCATTGCTCGTTGCATACGCCGTGCAATAGTTTCCTTACAGAGCGGATAATTCTATCCCACACCCCGCCCCTGTGACTTGCAAATGGTGGATTGAAATGCCATTGCACACCACGAAGGCAGAGCTCTCCGGCAATCCGTTTTTGATCCCATTTTTTAACACCATCACGTAATTCCCTAACCGCCCCGACGAAATTCGTTTCGTTGTCACTATATACTTCTGATGGGCAGCCCCGTCTGCCGACGAAACGGATGAATGCCGTAATGAATGCATCAGTCGAGAGGTCGTGGGCTGCTTCCAAGTGCACTGCCCTGGTTTGCAGGCAATTGAATATGCACCCAAAGCGCTTTTCCACAGTCCTTCCTCGCTTTACAGCAATAGGGCCAAAGTAATCCACACCCACATTCTTGAAAGGAAACCAACCAATTTCCGCCCTGGCACAGGGTAATGGTGCCATCTGTTGCTGGCACGGAGTGGCGGTGCGCTTCCAGCAGCGGATGCAGCTTTCGACCACTCACTTCACTGTTTTAGCCCCATGCAGTATCCAGTACTTGGTGCGGATCGCACTTAGCACGTATAGCACTCCACCGTAGCCTTCTGAGACGTGGAAATGACGCACCAGCGCCTCGACAACTGGGTGCCTACTGGGAAGGATAGCAGGGTGCTTCAAATTCTCCTCGTAGCCCGTGTAGTTCAACCGCCCTCCGACGCAGATAATTCCCTCGATCAGAGTTGGGTACAGGTGACGGATTGGGTTTCCTTTTTTCCATGCGTGACTAAGGTGGGTCGATTGATTGCTGCACGCTTTAAGGTTTGTCAGTTCGTTGCTGAACGTCCCGCGTTGCACCATGCGCAGGATGTCTTTCCTGGCATCTTCTATCTCGGAAACTAACAGCGGACCTCTAGCATATACCCGATGCGCATTGTGCCGGGATAGTAACCAGCATTTGAAACGAACCAACCAAGCTACTGCCTTCAGTAATTTGGCCCAACTCGAAAAATACGTCAACAGTGGGTTCGCGGGGTTTGTTGATGTAGCATTTATGGAACTACTTGGCTTTTTTATTTCCACATTTGCCATGCTTTCCGTTGGGGTATGCCCGTGTACCCAGGAGCAGTCGGTTTGTAGGAGAACATCCGGTCCTCCTACCCACGGCAACAGCATCTTCATCGAGAGTTTTAGGAGGTGGATCCAGGTCTGGAAGATCATCGTCATCGGAGTCGAAATCATCCATGCCCGGGTCGGGGACATCGTTGTCGGACATACCAGAAAGTAGACGGGAAAAGTCACCGTCCATACCGCCGAATTCGGGCTCCGATTCATCCTCATCTTTCCAGCGATTGAAATCAACACGTAGCCAAGGTTGTTTCGCAGAAGTAGACAACAAACGTGGCCAGAAACCAGATTCCTTCTTCTTAATTACGAGGAATATCTCTCTGCACGTGTTGGCTTGCCTCACACTCTCAGGATCCACCTGACTGTAAAACTCTAAATTTACTTCATAATCAGTGGGCTTAGGAGTACCCGATTTACCCCTGAAATGCAGCGAACCGTCCTTTACAACCATCACCTTGTCTTTTACATCTCCTAGGGAGATAGTGACGTATAAAATGTCCTTCCTCTGAGCCCAGAGTACCTGAGGTGTGGAGGGAGTAGGCTGATCACCAGACATGGCAGCGAACACGCGCAGACCGTTACATGTGGAGTACCAAAAGGCTCAGTGCTTAGACTTGGTCTATTCTTGGTGTTCAGTAACGATTTGGCGAGATCAATTGCTTCCGACTTCCTATTTTTCGCCGATGATATCAAGTTATGGCGAAGATTCAGTAGACCTGACGACTACGAACGGCTCCAGTGCGAGCCTAATACGGTGTCGAACTGGTCAGTTCAAAACGTCCTATCATTCAAAGTAGACAAAGGTCGCGTTGTACAATTACGCCATAGACAAAACTACACCTATTTACTTGGGACAAACGGATTGCTGACCAGCTCCCAGGAACGTGAACTTGGTGTGCTCGTACAGAAGGACCTCAAAGGTTCAACATAGTCTGGTAGCTGCAAAACGAGGCAACCAGCACGTCGACATGCTGCGAAGGGCATTCGGGAGATTTGTCCCATCAATCTTCCCAATGATGCACAATTCCTACGTGCGCCCGCATGCTGAATACGCTATCCAAGCTTGGCAATCTTCATTGAAGCGCGACCTAGAAGCGTTAGAGGCACCATCACAAAGAGCAACAAAGAATGTAAAGGGCCTGCGCTAACTCTCTTACCACCGAAGGATGAAGTTGCTGGGAATTTTCAGCGGACGCTATCGAAGGCTGCGCGGCGATCTCATATTAGCTTATCAGATATTGTGTGACCCCAACCACGTAGGCTGACATTTGCATAAACTTACAACACGCAGCTCAGGGGTACCGGCTTAAAATTGAAGGAACAATATAGCCGTCTAAAGTGTGGAGGTACGTACGGTTCCCTTCGGGTTTGTCAATCCTGAAACGTACTCCCAGACTCAGTTGTATCCTCTCCTACATTGGACGTTTGCAAAAAACGGTTGGATGTTGCGCTTAGCTCCCAGCATTATGTAACATAACTACGCTATGGTGAACTACGACAAGCAAACTTTTCAACAGGATTTATGTATCACATGGACCCAAGTGTGCGACCATATTTTACTTTCCTGGCGCCTTATATCAAAGGTGGATGCAGCCCAGTGTATTTCTGAACGTTTACGCACGATTTCAGTTTAAATTTTATATTGATGTTATTTATCGAAGTATTCATCTAGGCAGATGTCCGGTAGATAACTCAGATATACTTTGTTTCCTCATATTCATCGCAACCACCAGACGGGACATGTCAAGCACTTGCTTTTAACCTGTGAGAAATCATTGCTCTTTGTTCATTGTTCATTTATCGTCAGGCGGTGCGTGGCACCCAGTGAGAGCAGCCTGTCACCGTTCGCACTCGCTGAACCAATGCCATGCGAACCGATAACATCTGTCCACGCTGACACAGCACACCCAACGCGTGTTGAAAACACCCAGCAGAAATAGTCGGCCGCTTCTCAGGACCGATCGTAGTACGGAGGATAACTGAGGGTAATATTGACCATGCGTAGGATCAGGATAACATATGGTCGGACCATACGTGCTTATAAAGGTGGCAAACTTAACTCTTCCGAGACGTAGGCGAACAGTCATCAGTCGCGCGCTGATACTTATTTGTTCACTCACGAGCTGGACATGGAGGCGATCGGATATTGCAAATCCGACCCCATGATCACGTGGTGCTGAGGCGGCGTTGCCCACGCAGTAGAATGTGTAGCCAGCACCTGCTTCATGCAACTTACCTTGCTCAGCGAGCCGAGTTTCACTGAGCGCCGCAATATCGATGTTGTACCGCGCTAGTTATCTGGTGGGAACACCGCGTGAGTAACGAGCGTGTTCGACGCCTTGCTTACGGCCTAGGAAAAGGGAATGAACCGCTCAGCACCGTCATTTCACTCACCAGGCTCCGATGGCTGGGCCACGTGTTACGCATGCCAGCCCACCGACTCCCTCGACGTGCGTTGTTTGCTCACCGGGGATGTAGGTGGAAGAAGAGAAGAGGTGGCCAAGCGATGACTTGGTCCAGAGGAATGAAGGCCCTCACTTCGGAGCTGGCCTCAGTTGGAGCTCCACGGCTCCCTGGTTGGGGTCCAAAAGACGGTGAACACGTTTGGCTGGATACACTTGCTGATATGGCAAGGAGCCGACCTCAGTGGCGTTCCTGCTGTGAGTTTCTTTGTCCCTCCCCATCCCTTTAGCCTCCACCTCCATCTACGATCTTATTTCGTAGGGTAAAACGTAATTAAATTTTTGTTTTTGCCTAGTAGCCGGCTAGTAGCTTACCGGAACGATGCCTATCCGTTGCTGGTAGCTCAGCTGGCATTCAACTGTCGTATTTATTTTTCCTTTATGTATTGTATGTATGTATGTATTTCCTTTATGTATTGCGGTACAATAGCGGAGGTGTTTTACCATCTCCAGCTGACATGTATAATGATGATGATGATGATGATGATGATGATGACCGCGCTAGTTCCATGGAAACCGTGCAGTGGGTCGCTTGAAGCGTTCGCTGGAGTACCGATTCAGTAGTGTGCAAACGTTCCAGCATCCGATGCTCAGTGCTTTGTACACAGGTAAACGATTGCATTGATGGGCAATCGCACGCGAAGTGGCGGTTTTGCTTCGGGGGGTTGCTTGAGTGACTCCACCCGGAACCTTTGGCGCAATAGCCTGACCCACAAGGCAGTGGTTGATTTGGAGTTTGCTTTAGTGACTCCGCCCGGCGCCTTTGGTTCCATAGCCTGACCCACTAGGCAGTGGGGAGCATATCCAGCTCGGGAATGTGATTGCAGAGACAGATTGGAATCTGCTTGACGGCTTTCACGCGCAGTCTTTGAGGCACTGGAACTATTCATATATGTTTTGCGACCGTGGTACTTGGGTTTTGGCTGGTTTGCACCAAGTTGACCAAGGACTCCCTTTCTTGTGGCGGGCAGGAGCAAACCATTGAACCCCAGGAAGTGTCCTCCTACCGTCAGAGCCAATGCGTGGCGCTCATGCTCTACGCCAATCGAGCTGTGAGATTATATCCCGTAGACCTGTTGTCTCCAATGACTGGGTTTAACGGGAAGAGGGCCATCGACCACTTCCTAACGTCTGAAGAGGACGGACTGGTATACTGCCAGGGCTCCCACACCTGACAGGACAACGATTAGGGTCCTCAGCTAAAGTATTCAAATAAACCTACACCCGAAAGGCAGCGGATTTAGCACATGGTCAGTGCACTGACTCATATGGATTGATGTCCTGGACCTTAGTAGGGAGAAATGCGTAACCCTATTCTAACTCAGTTTTCGTCACGTAGAGGCATCCAGGATATGAGCCAATGACACAACAGTAGCAGCAGTGGGTAGACCATCATCCGGGTTTCAGCTACTATTAGCGTCAGCGCAACATCGGCTCCCCCACCTCTGCAAATTATGTATGGCGGCATCCCGTATCGGATTTGCCTGTCAAGGTGGACAGCCACAATACGCCTGCGCCTACAGAAGGACCATGGGTGGCTTGCGCTGCACCAAGCACAGTTCCATCCCCACATCCCATATGCAGTGTAAACCCGAAAGAATAAGACCGGGAGGCATGCGGACGGGAGCCACGTTTCATCAACGGAGCCGGCCCACACTCCTTCACAGACAAACACAAGCACGCTGTATTTGGGAATCAAACGCACACAAGGCGGTGGCTGGACCTTTGTCCGCACCACACTGAGTGCATGGAACCACTTTTTGATCCTACCACGGCCGCAAGGACCGTGCACCCCGTCCCCTCCAGCAATGACCAACTATCTCTTAGAGCCAGTACGGACGAAGTAGTGGGTAATAGACAGGTAAGCATCTTGTTATCATGCACATCAAGTGCAGCCACACCGGAAATATCAAGCAACAGCCACTCACTTGAGAGGAAGATACCAAATAAAATAAATCGAGTAAGGCAAAAGGAATCGGTGACATAAAGCTTACATTACTAAGCGTATGAAATAAGTTTTTCACGAACGAATCCGAGATAAGTTCACGAGGTCAGAAAGCATATTTTGTGGAAATGCCACAAACACGAAAATTTTATCAAAATTAACTACAATTAGCTTCAGCAATGTATGCAAGCGTATAGAAGAGAGTACTGGTAGATATTTATATAAGAAAGCAAATCAATAGGACAAAATTGGAAACCCACTACCTGAAATACGGAGACTTAGCATGCAAGCACACGGCTAGGAAACCGAATGCAGCGTACCTACAAACGCTGCGCCGGTTCTGTCTACGTTCTCCGCAGGACCCGTCGTCGCTTCGGTTGTAGTCCCGAGTGGCCTTGCTCATAGCTCACTAGGCCTGCCTAGCTCAGGCACTAGCGACCGCATGTGCTACAGTACCATGCGCTCGATGGCGATGGAGTACAACTCCTCAGTGCTTGCCGCTTCCGCACTTGCCGCTTCTTCTCTGCATGTATGAGATCTTTCTCCCGCACTTCGGCAACCGCCTATGTGATCAGATCGCGATGTGCAGCGGATCAACCTAAATCGATCCTTATGACTTGCAATCAAGATTAGAACGTGAGAGGCTCACTTTGATCGTGTTCATTATGCATACGTATATGCGCCGATTCATTTCCGATGTAATATATTGAGACACTGTCGTACCATTACCATTGGCATTACCTTACTCTTAGTCTATCCAGGAGATTGGACACGTCTACTTCGATCGTTTTGGGAGCACTGAATTGCTGCACCCGAGACGTACAAGGGATGGCGTTACCAAATAGCTTATTGTCACAGCAGAGTACAAAGCGGTAAGTACAAACGCTTGAGTACTTGGATGGCAGGCATGCTACGTATTGAACATTAGCAAAACGGTGCGCACACTGTTTAGAAATGTTTATGTTTGACAGTGAGCAGCGGGACTTAAGTTATGTAGAATGACGGTAGTTGTGTCGCTCTAATGAGGCCGTAAGCGGCGAATATGTGGTATTGACACCTGTCAATGATTAAAGTCGCGCAACAATCGTACCTCGGGCAGCAGATGACATGACCGATCGGGGACACAGAATGATAGAAGTGAACACCCAA